TCACAGAAGTAGTCTGACTCTCCTTCTTCCTAGTCTGTCTTACTCTGGAAGCTCTGCGGAAACCTGCCCAGTGTATGGGTGACCCTGCTGGTAATTAAAATACCAGTGGCATAGCTTCCAATAGTAACACAGAAATCACTACAGTACCACCAGCTGACAGATGAGCAGGCTCAGAAATGAATGGACTGAATTCGATTTCTTACAAAAGTACATTCACAGAGCTCTTCAGATGGTAAAAGCCCTAAGATCAAGCAGCTGGCCATATTTTATTCAGACAATCTTATTTGTTTTGATGTATCAGGTGAGATCAAGGTTTTTCTGGGATACAACAAACCCTGAAATAAAAAATATAAATCACATACATGGAGCTGACAAAGTCCAGAGGCGTCCATGAATTATTTGACTGTCTCGATGTGCTGTCTGGGCTAATATAATGGTGGGGTCTTCTGTTCCATTCCAGTGGGCCTCCTACTCTACATCACTCTCAGAAGGTTTTTCACACTGAAGTGCTTCCGAATTTCTCTCTAAACCAGAGGCCTATAGTCAAACAATAGCAATGTTTACTGGTTTCCTTTGCTAAGAGACAAATTATAGAATAGCCAATGAATATTCTGATTCAAGGTGTTCTTCATCAATACAACTAATAGTAATATAATTCATATGCAGACTAATACTACACACACACATAATTAGCATGGTTCCTCCTCAGTGGGCCAGTTCTATTATATGACAACTAGATATGCTCACTTTGAACTGGAAGGAAGGCTCTAACCTCACACTACTAGTCCTAGTGTAGACTCCTGCTATGGCACTGTGAGATCAGCACTGGACTGTGAACTACAAGGTCGGTGGTTCAAACCCACCAGGTGCTCCTCGGAAGCCCTGTACAGGGTTGCTATGAGTTGGAACTGACTCCATGGCACTTAATAGCAGTAATAATAATACCAAAGATCGTCATAGCCAACCGTCTGTTAATCCTCAGATGGTAAGTGTGGAACTTGGTTACCACATTTTTATTATGCTTACTTTTCTCAACATAAGGCTGACCAATCTGTCCAGTAATGTGCTTTTAGGGTGCTATTGGCCATGGTGAATTTTCCCATCACACTCGGTGCTCATGAACCTCCTGTGACTGATAAGAACCTTCCAGGCTTTGAATTGGTTGCATTACGTTACAACTCAATAAAGTCATTTTGAACTGCAAGGAAGGATCCTGATTTTACAGTACTAGATTTGATCCACACCACGGCTCTCATAGTACAGCAACCAGGAGGGCTAGCCTCATCCCTGCCCTACCAGAGAGGGGTCTTGCCTTCTACTGATTACAAATAGTCAGTTGAGGCAGGGTTTCCAGACAAGCAGAAGTTGATTATGGGAACAAGGCTTGCAAGCAGAGATGGAATGGGTTTAACCCAACACTCAGCTGCATCTCCCTGAACAAAGGCTTTGTTGGGGTTTAAAAGGTTTTGGATGGGGAAAAGGCATCATGTTTCTTTCTGGGGATAGATGGGGATTTCCAAGAAACCCTGTTGAGGTGGGGCCATGCTAAGTAAGTGTGTCTGCAGTATTTCTTCTAGATGGATTCTACCACAAAGATCTCTGGTAGGAACAAACAAAACTTATTCTGAGATGTTGAGTGTTCATGGTTCTTCAGGACTCTGGTTCAAAGCCTCCGAGGGGCTGGCATTCTCCTTTGTCCCAATAGAAGGTTTGCCCTTAAAGGTTATGCCCAGAATGCTGGGTAAACCAATCTGACCCATAAAATACCTCATAGGGAAGTAAAAATATGGAATTTTTATGAGTAGTATTCCTTAATGGCATGTCCCATGAAATCATGGAATGTTTATGGGTGTTCTTCCTTAATGACACACCTCAGGATGTGGCTGCTCAGCTGCTCACCGTGGCGTGTCCTGCAAAGCTTTACAATTGTTCCAGCAAAGAGGGGCACAGGGTTCAACATCTCTCAAGACTTCTGTCACAAGGTTTTGATCAGTAGGTGGTTCCCATTTAATCCTGATTTCTGAACTCCTTCCCCACTGGTCTCAGTACTTAGTGTTGTCTCAAAAACCTCCATTAACACCTCCACCCATTTCATCAGTAAAATGTTGGGAAGCTGTCAGGTTCACATTGTTTTCCAAATTCTAATTTTCATTTGAAAGCTCAAATTTTGTCATTGTCAACATATACTATCCTGTCATTTTGTTTTTTCTCAAAGCAACACATTTGCTGCATTTATTATCGAGAGAATGCCTGCCAAACACCCACGTCTGAGCGGGCATATCTTGTCCGTCGTTCTTGTGAGCAAACACGGTGTTGTGTGAAACCTGAAGCGGCTCAGTGCAGGCGCAAACGTTCACCGAAGCACTTTTCCTGGCCACCGCCCTATTTCAGTGCCGCAGAAGCGCTTTCGGTGCGCTTCCTGTTCCTTCTCTCAGACCACTAAAAAGACATGTGTTCAGGGGTGAAGACTTAGAAACAGGAATGGCTGTAAGAAAGTGTACGTGCCGACTTTCTGGGTGATGGATTGGCAATGAAGAAGTCCATGGCGCCTGCTGCAGTGTGAGATCATTGACCTCCATCCGTCTCTTTTACCAGGGGTGGTTACCCAACCTTATGTGCACATGAGTGCAAAGAGCATCTTAGAATCGCAATGGAAGTAGCTTCAACCTTGTAGAGCCTCCCAAAGGACTCTGGGGACGGGCTCTCACAGAGATCACACTTGGATGACTGTTGTCTTAATGTAAAGCCAGCGTGCAGAACTATCAATAGAGATAGGGATTACAGAATTTAAGAGATTTACAAGCAGTAATTTCAAGTAATCAGTATTTCATATATGGAAGTAATCTAGCTCTCTGATCATCTGGATTATGCAGATATATACTGTTTCTGCTAAATATTGTCCAGTTGGTCTCAACACTTAGTGACTTTGTATACAGTTCCCAGGGCTGTAAATCTTTGTTAGAGCAGAAAGCTCACCTTTCTCCTGTGGAGCAGTCGGAGGGCTGGAACTGCTGATTTGTTGTTCACAGTCCACTGCTTACCCTATGGAAACCCTGCGCTCCCACATAGGTGTATATACAGGTATGGAGTCCTGGTGTGTATGATAGCACTCAACTAGTAACTGCAAAGTCAGCAGTTCAAACCCACCAGTCGTTCCTCAGAAAGCCTACTCAGGGTCACTATGAACCAGAACAGACTCAGGGGTACTTAACAACAACAACAATGCATGTGTGTATATTTGTGTGTGTGTGTGTGTGTATGTATATATATACATATATATATGTTGTTGTTGTTAGGTGCCATCAAGTCAGAACCAACTCATAGCGACCCCATGCACAGCAGAATGAAACGAAGTCCGATCCTGGGCCAACCTCACTACCGCTGCCACACTTGAGTCCATCAATGCTGCACCCTGGCCAATCCATCTTGTTGGGGGTCTTCCTTTTTTTCTCTGACCCTCCACCTTACTAAACATGACATCCTTCTCCAGTGATTGGTCCCTCCTGACAGTATTTCCAAAGTGTGAGAGACGAAGTTTGGCCATCTTGGCCTCCAAGGAGCATTCTGGCTGCACTTCTTCCAAAACAGATCTATTGGTTCTTTTGGCAGCCCACGGCACTTTTAGTATTCTCCGCCAACACCATAACTCAAAGGCATCTATTCTTCTACGATCCTCCTTATTCACTGTCCAGCTTTCACATCCATATGAGGCTATTGAAAACACAATGGCTTGAGTCA